ATTACCAAATAGATGAACAAGACGTACGAAGAAGTGGTAGCCAACGGTTCCCATTATCTCAGAATGAAAGCTGAAAGATGCAGGTCGGCGAAGAGGAACAATCTATGCACCACCGGAAGAGCGTACACCATTACCATATTCCTCATTGTGATTTATTAAATACCAGATTACCAACAACTGCAACGCACGGATAATTCTAGTAATGGTAGTGCCAAAATTCGAGCAAGGGTGATATGGGCAATCGAAATTTGACTTATATTTTGAGGGATCTTTCTCCATAAAAAACCTGTTGTACGCATCACTGGAATTCCGGCGCATATGTGAATCCTGTAGTTTTTGTGATACAATGGACTTGAAGGGAAAGTATGACAACTTGGTGCTAGTTTTTATAAGCTTGAGGGTTTACCGACTGTCCAAGATGATGGTAACTAATCAGGTAATGGGACAATTGAACAATGCATTGATTCACGCTTATCATATCTTCCGGATGTGCTTTCTGTTTATCCGGTAGTGTTTGCCTGGCTAACTTCAACCTTATCTCCCACAAATGAGAGAGCATATGGCAGACCAGCACACCGAGTGAAGAGAAATGCAAAATCTAAGGCTGTAAATGTGATTTGGTGGTTGATTGCATGCAAGAATAGACGTGAGTAAAATATAGACCTTCATTAGAAGTATGGGCAAATTATGTTTTTAGAGATTTTTCTGGGTGAGTCGGGCAATTTCAAAAAAATATTATAAAAAGCAGCGATGCCATGGCTTTTTTGCTTTTATTCTATTCCAGTGCTTTTGCACCATCCAACTAGAGCAATTTTATCGCAACCACTGGGTTAGATTTCCGAGAATAGGTGGAACGAAAAAACCATCCAGACGCACCCACGAGGAGTAAAAAATGAGAATGAATCCAGAGTTTAGCACGTGACGCACAGATAACACCAGATGCGGGCCACAGTTTGTATTTTTCGTCGTCATTTTGAGGATTATCGGCCACCTTGTTGAAGAAGGCAGTGAGCTGACTACCTAGGTTGATACATTAGGCTCCAATAAATCAATGCTATGTAAAAGGAAAGAAAGAAAGATTTCTTTTCGGGTTTTCGTTTCCAAAATAACGCATGCGCAGGTTACTAGGCCAGATGCCAGAGACCAATCTGGAGACGTTCATCTGAGGTTCGAACTCGGGTCGCAGTAATCGTTGTTCGCAACCCTCACTGCTCGGCCTTCGGGGACACTACAGCAAAACGTTCGGCAATATGCTCTCCAACTACAGATGACTGCTCAGAATCGTGTTTCCTGGGATCCGTAATTGGAATACCGGTGGTGATTACCCACAAGGCAAGAATATTTGTGCACTGAGTTGCACAACTGGGTTCGTTATAAAGTATATTGACATGCAAAGCATCATAACCACTCTTGATAGAGGTACATTGACTGGGGCAGAAATCACCCTTGATTGCTTCACGACATGTATCATCTTTCCACACTAATCTGCGTAACGTGCTCCGTCACATAATTATTTGAAACTATGAAATCTGATTCATTCATTCTAAATTGGTTTACACAGTGCTGGGTGAAAAGCTTGGGTGAACCTATACAGCAAATGAAAGCGAAACACAAATTTTACAACCTTGTTTGTATCTAAATGTTACTCAAGTGGTAAGTTGACATCGTTCTAATAACCTCATAAATGTATACAAAATCCACTAAAACAGATAATCCTCAATAGTCAGATGATGATTGGGCAGCTAAATTCCACGTAAATCGGGTTTGGATAACATTTGTATTTGTTTTGTACGATATGTCTGGAGCATTTAGTTGAAAATTCGTGCATCTAATGACGCTTTATCTTTGAGTTTACCATAATTTTCAAAGCTGAAGAAGCACCCTTACCTTGTTTTACAGGTCCCTATCCGAAAACACCATGCAAAACGGTCAACAAAATTTGATCGGCTTTAGACAGGGAATGGACTGAGCGAGAGTAAATTTGACAGGTAAAGGGAAGAATCTTCACACATGCAATGGAAATCCATCTACAAGAGGGAAGGCCTATCTTTTAAATGACATTAGGTCACTTTCCTCCGTCAGTGTGGCTGAAAACAAAGTAGCCATGTCTTACAGCTCTTTTAATTATGGTGCGATTTATTTTTCTAGCAACTGTCAACAGCCCGGTCCAATGTCATGTGACATGACAGCACCGCTGCTCACAGACGCTCTGCCAGTCGCCATATCCACTCTACCCGGAATGAAATCAGGGCTGATGGCCGTGCGACATCTTGGTGAACGACCATTTTTTCAACCCTACCTTACACCCTGCCCCGTTACCCCAGGGTTCCCGTTAATAAATCCTGCACCGTTACCGAGATTTGGAATGGCGGAGAACCCTGTGCATCCAACTTTTCCGGTAGCCGGGTTTCAGCAATATGGGCTAACACTGCGTGGTCAGACAATCTTACCCGTTTCACTGTCAACAAGCGACTTACTGCAGACCAACACCTATGGATGCGGCTTCTTGCCATCTGACAACATTCCACGTACGACGTTTATGCCGAATTTGAACGGAGTTTCTCTACTGTGCTAGGTTAGTTCATTACAGTGTACACTGGACAATATTCACGATGATCTGGCAAAACCTCTCTTAGGTCATCATGCACATTAATTAATTATTACCCTTTTAGTCAGTCTGTTCCACCGACAATTTCCTTTTTGTCCATTCCACTCAAGAATACGTCACATCATTTGGCTCAGCAGCAAAAAAACGTAGAGGAGCTACGCGGTGCCGTCAACCAGAATAGATTTAGGCATCAAGGCTGAATTCAGCATCACAGATAGTCACTATTTTCTCATGCTCATGATCTCGCAGGATAAATGCTTGCAATTCTAATTCTTGATACTTTTGTCAGCTTGAGTCCTCTGTGCAGTATTTGAGCTTCGATGGAAAAGTTCAGTTAGGTGAAGTGATCACAGCGAGCACAATAGTTTGAGTTGGACTATGGATCGAAACTTATGTTGCAATTACTGTCCCTTCTATTGGTGATTATTGTTTGAAAGTTCACGGTTACCGGCTTGACATCATAACAACATCTAACCAGCCGGGCACCGAAACGACATATACAGCATGCGACCCTAACTGTTGAAGAAATGTTTAACCGTTTCGCATTACAGTGTTCATCACAAAATGGACAGTTTACCATTGCTATGCGCATGAAGGTTTGTTTTACGAGGACTTCAACATGTATCTACTGGTGGAGACGGATCGCTCTCTAATCATGACACAAAATTAGTTAATCCGAACTGCGGGCATTGAAATACAGAAATGAGTATCATTCTTGTGTCCCATCCCAGCTCACCATGCAACTTAATATCATCCTCTCTGTCCGAAATTTTTAACTTGGGAACATGATACCACAAAACACCTCAAGGATGTGGTTTGAAGCGATCTTGAATTCCACTTACATTTGTAATCCGACTAGTAATACTAGGTAAGATAAAAAATCTAAGGAGTTAGGTGGTCCTTATGTCGAGTCCTCTACTATCCTAAGCTATTTTTCGGCTTGAAAATGTTCTTTTCAAGACACTTTAGTGTGCATTTGGCATAAAAACATCACAGGTTACAAGGAACCGTGAATAACTTGCAAATTTGGCCTTTCCCGTCATCGTGGTTTCGATGAAAATGCACGTTGTGTAAATGTGAACAGCCTGTTCAACTGCATGTGTATTTTAACCTGCTCTGTTTTATTTTTATTACTGCGTTACCTTGAGGATAACATTAGGTAGTTTTCAGCCCTAAGGCAAAGTTTCATTATGCAAGTGAAGTCAGTGAACCCTCAAAATCCAAGTGGTGCTGGAAACGTTTTTCACTCATTTCGTCTTTCTACTCTGCCTTCCCGTTTAGTGAACAAAAGAACATAATGCGCGAAACAAAGACGGAAGCACACAACACATTTTCCATTGTATATCCTTTTGAAAGAGATCCATCAATCTGTATTCTAACCATTTTCAATCCATAGCCGTTAAATAAATTACACTTCTTTCAAGACTGAAGCATACCGTTTCACGAAAACGCATCTTTGTGATATACACATTTCGTCGCAAGTTATCCAATGCTTGTTATTCGCTGGAAACTTTGATATTTTGCCGAGAACTGTGAAGTGTTATTTTTGATGGCCCCTCTCCTACTGCTTGCAACTATATTTGAAGGCACTTGGCACTTTTTCACACATTGGAGATCTTTCACAAGTATGCATTCCAATGACCCTTCTAAACGATACTGTTGGCATATACAAAATATTGATCTCAGACCAATTAGTAATCCACCCACACACCATCCCAGTAAATCCCGGAGCACAACCGTAGTCTTTGTAATCCCATACTCACCGCAACGTACAATCGGCTGGATGGGCTTGACATCAGGCAATTTAGAGAAACGGCAGCACACGTCAAGTGGAAAACATTTTCAATCTCCCAAAAACTGCCACTCATAATGCTCATTCGGAATTCATCAGAAATTCTTCGCAACGGTTCTGATCCACGAAGAAGGCCCTGCAAAAATCATTACCTGACTTTCCTGGCCTTCGACACTATATGGTAATTGATTTGTTCTCGTTGTAGTCAATACAAAGTACAGATGAATGATTCCGCCTCTTCTCTTCTGTCAACTGTTGACAAAGAAGTAACTTCAGAAAACACCAGGTGCGCATTCTGTGGTGTGGGGGGTAATGACTCCATCAAACAAGTTAGTGTTTTGCAAAACGAAAAGTAAGTTGAAAGACGCTAGCAACTAATCTCTTGGGGAGAGTGTCGCTGGATTTCGGGGAAGACCATCAGAGTTACTTGCCGTAAAGCTCAAAGGTGCCACGACTTTTTCAACTGAACTTCATGACGCCTTAAGAGTAGTCCCTCAAGTAGCGACATAAACGATAAGTTTGAATACAAGTGATCAAGCTTTGAAGAGCTTAACAATAGTATTGTGTAACAGGGCAAATTTACCAACAGCATTCCAGATCACATGATCATTGAGGGGCCATGCAAGGATATAAGCTTGACCGATCCCGTTAGAGAAAAAGAGTACAAGATCAACTGTTTCAGTAAATTATAACTGAGTAAACCGGGAGTACAATGCGTGCAGATTTTCACTGACTTGTTTGAAAACACTTTTACTGGTAAAGTGTCAAACTTGACGAAGCCCAGTTAGTAGAAAAGTCATTCTACTGTTTTAGTTTTTGTGTGCAAAATGACTTTTTTGCTAATGTTTGAATGCTTATAGGCCCTTTATTGCAAGCGACTCTGGAAAAATATCCAGTACAGCATCTGCCAAACAGCAAACAGAGATTAGCTGGGCTACAGTGAATTGCATAGACCGTCAAGAGACTAATTGCACCATATTGAAAGACAATAAGGCAAAACGACCAAAAAAACTGTTCCGTCATAACTTAGCCAGGATACTCAGACATTCATTTAGTCCGTGGTACATTCGTTTATGCCCACCAGTGAATATAATAAACGGACAATAAAATCTTATTATACCAGCTATTTTTGATAAAAACGACAGTCTTTTATGCTCAAAGGAATTCACTGGGTTTTTGTAGACACGGGGAAGATCACACAGTTATGCCAAATCGATATTAGTTTGGTAACCAAATGCTTTTCACTGTGACAAGAAACGCTAAATCTTCTATAAGCAAAAGAGTTATTGGTTGTTGATTGGTTGTTGTTCAACAAATTACCAAAAGATTTATTGTTAAGTGTACAATCCGCTCAGCGTACATTTGCTGGTATATTTGCCGCAATCTGTTAGATATATAAAAGTTTTCAGAAGAACAAAACTTTTCAGCTGTGGTGAGAACTAAGTGAATTCGGATATCTGAATTGGCTATGGCTAAGGATGTGCTCGATGAAGGGTATTTTTCGGTCCTCGAAGGGAGCTTCTTGGAAGAAGCTCGCTTTTTGTTCACCTGACTGATGCCCGCTGGTACTGTGGCAAGTTCAAACTCGTTTTCAGTTACCTGCCCGATCCGTGTCATGCATGCTGTAGATAAACAGAAATCTTTCAAGACTGTGCGAAAAGTGATAGACTCTCCATCTTTCACGCATTGCGAGACGCTTAGGAGAATCATTCTGACGCCAGTGAGATGCAGCCCCCACGTAATCACGAATGCTGATCGATTTTTACCGGTTTGAGCTGTCATATGACATTATTGCTGATACAAGCTTGAAGTGTTCTACTGAAATGGCAACTGGGAGGTCGCACAAAACCGCTACCGTGGACTAGTTCATCTTAACAACGAGCATCAAATATATATGTTAGTGCTGTTCGCACCCATTGCCACGGTACGAATCAACGATAACCGACACATCATATCAACTGCTGCGAATTTCACCTTCTTGAACTCACCTTATACTTCATTACGTCAAGTCCTAACCTGTAACGGTCTCTGTTTTTGTCAGAATTCGTGGGTTGAGAGACAGTACACGACGGAACTTGATTTTTTTTCCATGCGCACATGACAAAGGAACATGTTATCATGTAATCGACGTGTACTCAACCCAATTAGAGTCGCTGTAGATTACGCGCGTTTCGTCGATTACCAGAAAGCTAAAAATTCAAATATACTGAGCAGCCGTTAGTTGTCTACGCTGACTTTGTCGACCACATATGGCAGACGCCCAAAAGAATGCCATTGTACGACTGTACGATCATGCAAAATGTGAAGTGGCTCATTCATCAGGCAGGCCCAATAGGCACACTGCTACGATTTTGTGCCGCAATTCGGTGTACGCACACACTGAGGAGTAAGTGTCATATGATTATATATTTGAGCCACTTAAAACAGGTACCGTCCGGAGTGCATGTGACTTATTCATCAAATTTATAAAAAGCCATACGAACATAATTATTAGTTGTTTAAACCTATGAAATAATTTCCCTTCTGATGGGCCATCAAAGGGAGAATAATAAGAGAAGCGATTCGACCATGTTCAGAAATTACCAAGGCTGTTTTCAACGAAGTAACTGTAATTGAAAATCGTAACACAGCCTTCAGAATAGTGAAAAGCTTCCGTTCCTCACATTTTTCAAAGTGGTAGCCTTCCATACCGCTAAATGTGTGCAACCGAAAACTGCTCCACGGTCACGCCAAATCAACATGCGCAGATTTTTCAAAGTTTCGATCTAGATTTTCAAAACCGTTTAAAAACACAGGGCAAAAATGTATCCGTACATCTTATCTGTTCTTTTCAAAAGCACAAACACAGTTCCCCGCTACATCAGTGTCTATATGGCATTTCTATAAAGTACAGCCTCAATTCATTGGAGAACAACCTTAGAAAGTGGTTGTGACAAAGAACGTCGCCGCTAGGTATTCACGCCAGTCACAGTCGGTTCTGCGTTGATTCGCAAAGAGTAAATGAGAACTGGATAAAGTCAAAAGAAAGGGTGAAGCATATCATGGAAACTTGATCGATAGAATCATTCTTGGATTTCGGTTGATGGTCTCTCCTAGAAGACGAGTCTATACTTCGCTAACTTGGATTCAGATTGCCCCTGCTTGTACGCCACCATCTCTTATTGAACATTGATAC